CATAAAGAGATTCAGTGGCAGGTTGGAAAGGTAGATGTGGATCTCAGGAAAGAAGGTCAGGGCTGGAGAGCTAGGTTTGGGGGTCATCAGAGTGAGCCACTGAGGCCACTTGGCTTGGGTGCTATTGACTGAGATGGTACAAAGGGGGCTGATGGCGGAACCTGGGGTAAGCTACCTTAGATGGATGCAAAGGAGGACAGACTAAAGGAGCAAACGATAAGTGGTAGTTAGCTAGGGAGGAGATTGCCCTCCACAATGAGGTATCATGGAGTCCCAGGCAGGAGAGAGCACCAAGATGGAGAGAGTTCTCAGCAGGGAGAGGTGTTACAGAGGCCAAGTCAGAAAGGGACCAGGGGGCTGGGCTCTGCACCAGACAAGTCCCCAAATCCTTTTTAAACATGTGATATCTCTCTCTCTCTCTCTCATCTTTTATTTCTCTATGCATCTGTCTGTCTTTGTTTCTCCATCTCTTGTTTCATCCTGATTGATCTTTGTACCAATGCCTAGTTCAGGGACCATCACAAGGTAGGTGTGCAATTAATGTTTGATGAGCTATAAAGAGATGCATGGATTGTACTACTTTTCTCTTTGTTCTCTTCTGAGAGATTGTAGTTATTCATCTTATTGGTGCTGGTCAGGAATTGAAATAGAAGTCACTCCCCTTTTAAAAGTTCTAGTTCTGGGCTGCTTCAGTTGAGGTGTCCAAACAAGTAGGAAAACCTGTGGGCCCCAACCCAAAGGGCTGAGGTTCCCAGTGGAGTCTCAGTCCCAGAGGAGCCTGCAGAAAGGTGAGTCGGACTCAGGGTCCCAGATCTAGAGATGGCTGCAACCATCAGTTGGGGAAGAGGTGGGATGATGGCACCACCATGTGGCAGGTATTGTACTGCCACATTATCTTTGTTAACTTCCAATATCCTCTGAGGTGGGTATTTTTACCCCCACTTATAGATAAAGGCTCAAAATAAGTACAGAAATTGTGCAGCTAGTAAGATGCAGAAGCAGGATTCAGACCCTGGTAGATGTGACTCCAGAGCCTGTGCATGTTCTGATGCTACAGGAATTGGTTCAGGCACTGGGAAGCCTGGAGCTCAGTGGTGTGGTCCCTTCAGGGCCTCCCACTGTGATGAACTAGCTGAGTTGGAGTTGCTGAGATGGTGATGCACACAGAAATCAACTTGGGCTAGTGACATCTTGCTGACAGCAGGCTAAGTGGCAGGTCAGTAACATCAGAGCCAAAGGCCCAGGAAATTGGCCCAATGTGACAATCCACCAAATAGAAAAATGAGCAAAACACACGAACAGGCAATTTGTAGAGGAAGTCCAAATGGCAAAAACCAAAATCAAAACCAAACCTAATCAAAGTAAAATGGAAACATGAAAAGACTCTGAGCTTCATTGTAGAAAGTAAAGACATGCATATTAAAATAAAAATTTTGCACATCCACCAAACTGGCAAAAATTTAGAATCTGACAGTACCAAATGTTGACAAGAATATGGAGTTAAGTGAGTTTATACATTACTGATAGGAATATAAATTGCTACAGCTGTTCTGCAGAACAACTTGGCAATACTAGTAAAATTAAAGATGTACAGACCCTATGAGTTAGTCATTCCACTCCTCGATGGAAACCCCTAGAGAATCTGGCATGTATGCACCAGAAGACACTTAGAAGAATATTTACAGAATATTATTATATATTGTAGTGAAAACTGGGAAATGACTCAAATGATCATCGATAGAATACATAAATGAATTACAATCAGTTTATACAATGAAATACCACCCAGCAGTGAAAATAAATGGACCTTAGCCACAGGGACCAACAGGAAGGAGTTTCCCAAACATAATGCTGACTGGGGAAAAAGCAAATTGCTATACACAGTGTGATACCGTTTATGTCAAGTTCAAAACCTTATAAAACTATACACATGTAATAAATCTCTAAAGAAAACAGGGAATAATAAGCACAAAATTCAGGGTAGTGGCCCATCCAACAGGGAAATCAGAGGTATGAGATCAAGAACTGCATACAGGGGGCTTTCTGATGTTATTTTATTCCTAATATTAGAGTTTCTGGATATTAGGCATATACATATACACAGATAGGTGTTCATTTTGTTATTTTTTATACCTCATGCATTTGCAATACATACACATATCTTTTCTTTTGAAGGGATGATATATGTCATAATTAACAAGTTACCAAAAAAGATCTGAAGCACAGAAAACAAGTTAGAAGGAAAGCAGGACAGTGGGCAGTTGCATAGACAGGACACCACATACACTCTTCTCTGGGAAATCTAAGGGCAGAAGAGGAATCAGGCTCAGACAGAGTCACTCTCTTGGGGTCAGGAACCTGTAGAACCCAGGTTCCCAAGCTGCTTGTTTCTCTGGAGCTGCTCTTTCCTGTAGTGGCCTTTGCTCACAATATCTCTTCCATCCTCTCCCTTTACTCACCTAAAGTGTGTCTTCAAGTCTTCGGCCAACTCTTACTCGCTTGCATTTATCCCCCATTTGCCCAAAGCCTACTACTATGTGTGAGGGCCTGGAGCAGCCACGAGTGAATGAGCTGTCGTACCCAGGCTTGCAGAGTGTCCAGGGGGGCAGGAGGGACAGACAGACAAGGGAGACAGAATCACATCACAGTGGTGCTGCTCCAGATTGCTGATGCATAAAGTCATCTGCGGACCTTGTTGAAAGGCAAAGTCCAGGCCTCCCCAGAATAGGTCTGGGTGGGGCCCAGGAATGTGCTTTGGAGAAACCCCCAGTGAATTTGGTGCAGCTAGTCCTCAGACCCCACTTGGAGAAACAGTGTGATAAACACAATGATGTTAGCAGATATATTTGGGCCCAAGTTCCGAGGGCCACCTCCCCAAGCTGGGGTGTGGGCATTAAGTCAGGGAGGCTTCCAGAGGCCTCCCCAGAGAGTGTCTTCATTGGAAATCACACTGTAAAATAGTTATTTATGGATGAGTCTCCTGCCTCACTGCGTACCCGGCTTACCTCTGCTTGGCACGTAGTACGTGCTCGGGGAAATCGCACTCGGTGGGTTTGCTGAGAAGCATTTTGGGTTGGGAAGCAGGCTCGGTGTCCAGGCCTTGGTGGCCCAAGCCCTCGGAGAACATTAACTCCTGGCCTCTCTAGTGCGTTCAGAGTGGCCCATCTCCAAGCATGTGTCAGGGACTAGGTTTGGGTCTGGTTTAGGTTTGACCCGCATTCTCGACTGGGTTTGGGAATGCAGTTCCATTTGCATCCAAGATCAGCCTGAGGAGACCAGATAATTGAGACCCTCAGCTGTAGCCTTGGATAGTGCTGGAAGGGGAAAGGGATAAAGGCCTGACAGGTCTAAGAGCTTTCTTATGTTGGCAGGCTGACAATAGGGCTGCTTCCTGTTTCCAGGCCCAGAGCAGCCCCCTTTCCTTACCTGGGCCCAAGTGAGGCCCCTCTCTGAAGGCCTGTTAGTCAAACATCTGGCATGAATCCAGTCCTGCCAGTGGCCACCTGGCTGCTCTTTGTTCTTTTTCATTAGGCACATCCAGGTGAGTTTTACTGTGGACAGCTCCCCCAGCTCCTGTACCCACATTCGCCTCTTTTTGAGTCTGAGATTGCCAAAGGCTTTTACAGCTAATGGACCTTACAGTTCCCAGGAGCCATTTAAGGGAGGCCCAGAAGTCAGCGGTGGTAATTAGTCAAGAGAAACACTGACCTCTGGAGAGCTGCTTGAGCTGAGTGGCAGGAAGTAAGGGTGTTGGGACAGGAGCCCCGGGCCTGCGGCAGGTGTGGGGAGCATCGGAACAGGCGTCTCCTCAATTCCTCTCTCCCTGGTTCTTCCCTGGCCTCATCCCTGCCCCCCACTCCTGGCGCTCGATGACAGGGTCCTCAGCCAGGCTGGTGTCCTGGGGCATCTAAGGGCCAGCGGGTGCCCTGCTGAGCTAACTCTGAGAAGTTACTACCCACCACCCCTCCTCTTCCTTTCTCCAGAAAGCCTCATCTACTGACCCTTGATGGAGGCGGAGGTCTGAGTTCAGTTGTGACTTCTCAGGAGGCAGTATAATGTCCTGATAGCAACCATGGGCTTTGAAGCTAGACAATTTGGGTTCAAATTCCAAACCGACCCGTTTTAAAGTTTGTGATCTGGGGCAAGTCAGTGAACCTTTCTGTGTCTCAGTTTCTTCATCTGTAAAATGGGGATACTAATCATACTGGCCTCAGAGGCTATGACAAGGAGTAAATGGTGCGCGTACTGCACTTGGGGGGATGAGCACTTGACAAGCAGAAGCTATTATTGTGCCATGAGTAAGTAAATCTGATCGGGGCAGAACTGGGAAGCTGAAGCCTTTATCTGGCATTCCCATCCCACCACACCCAGGTTCATTCCTCTCTGGTTGGGCAGAGGGAGCAAGCCTCTAGGGAAGCAGCCCTCTTTCAAGGGGGGTGGGTGGTGGAGGACGGGATGGGGAGGGAAGGACGTTGAACTCAGCCTAGAGATAACCCAAGGAAGGGAAGAGGGAGCCAACACTTGTCAAGCATCCTGCCTGGATTCGCATCACCTGCTTCATCACCTTAACCCCTAACACCCTGTTGGTGGATGAGGATACAGAGTCTTGGAGAGGCTAAGTGACTACGGCCAAGTCATACGGTACAAGTAAGAGGGGGCAGGGGTGGAGCTCGGGAATGTGGGAGTTCTAAGTGACTGTTCTTTTTTACTGTATTTTGCTGCGGTGGATGGTCAGGGGCTAGCCCCTGGGCACTTGGCTTGGTGCCTGCTATCTAAGAAGCCCATGGGAGGTCACTGATCTCTGCTGGAGCCAAAGGATCGGCCTTCAGATGCAAGACTTGGGGTCCTTCTGGGGGCCTTGCCACCAGGTTGTCCCTGGCTCCACACAGAGTCCTGGGCTGTTCTGGGAATCCAGGGCTGGACCCTGTGGGGGGCTTGTGTCTGTCTCCTTCCTGTTGTGAGCAGGAATGTACAGGGACATGCCCTCTCTCCCCCTGCAGGTGGATGGTGTTCTGTGCTTGGCCGACATCCTGACCGATGACAGCCACTCAGAGGCCACGAGGGCTGAGGCTGCGGCTGTGGTCGCCCAGGTCACCTCCCCACACCTGCCCTTTACTCAGCATCTTGGCAGCTTTCTGGAGAGCATGGAAGAAATTGTGACAGCTCTCATCAGTGAGTCACCCTGGGCGGGAGGGGACTGCTGTGTGAGTGGGACTTGTCACAGTTGTCTTCAGCAAGGGCCAAGGAGGCCTTCTTGCCCCCCTCCACCACACACCCACACTCACTGCACCCCATGTAGCTTGCACTGATGTCACACTAACTGAAATCCCACTGTTCATGTATCAGAGGCTTTAAAGAGCTTTGTTGTCAAATCTCCTACTAAAATGCATGCAGCCCTCTGAGAAGCTCTTTGAGTTAAAGGTCACATTGGGATTAATGGACCTTTCAGAATAGAGACTGGGGCAAGCCCCATGGAGATGAAGAGGACCTTGAATTTTGAGGTTCAGATCCTTGACCAGAGAGACTGATGGGCTTTGTTCCTGAAGTCTCAGACTACTGTAGCCAACAAATGTGGCAGCAATGATGGGGCAAACAGCTTCTCAAAAGGCACTGGTACACGCCAGCCTGCCACCTGCAAGCCTACCACTGGGCCCACATCGTGGGGCCTTGAAAGCTTCGACTCTTTTGGATTCCCTTATTCAGACTTATGTACTCCTGGCTGGAGAATCATAGTCTGAGGTCTAGAATACTCTCTTCTTCCAGCTTCCCTTTGCAAAACTGCAGAAGCTGGGACTTGTCTGGATAAAATCCTCAGGAAACTTGTTTTGCAAACCACATCCTTTCTTTCGTAAGTGCCGGCAAGGGTGTGTGTTTCTACTTCTATCCCTATCTCTGCCACTGTCTCCGTGCCCATGTCTGACTGAAAATGAATGAAAATTAATCTCATCAGAAAATTTAGCATTCGCTCTTGGAATCATCAAACCAGGGCTGGGAAGATTTGGAGTAGCGCTAATGTAGGGACAGCACAGAAACTAGATTGGGAGTCAGAACATTCAGGTGTGGACTTTTGTCTTTTCATTCATCCATTCAGCAAAGAGCTGCTGACCAGCAATCCTGAGCAGGCCCTTCACAGTTTTCCTAATATAGAAAACATGAAGTTGGAGCCATTTCTCTTGAGTCCTTCTAGCTCTAGAATTTTCAGATCTGCAATAGCTTTGAACAGAAGAGTCATCAGTTAAACTGACTTTATGGCTGACTCTAGGCACTGGGGCAGCGACACCCCCAGGCCAGCCTGGGATACCTCAATTTGCCAACATCCACCTTCCTTCAAAGTTGAGAAAACACAGAAGCCAACTCTTGAAAGTCTTGGCTAGAGGGAGCTCCAGAAATGCTCACTCAGTAGGAGAAGAAACCTAGGCCTAGAGAAGTTGAGGAACCTTCTTGAGGCAATATAACAATGTAAGGATTCACTTATGCCAGGAGTCTTCATACTCAGTCCTCCGCCAGAGCCAGGCAGGAAACATAAATGGTTGAAGAGGGCCAGATGGAAGAAGAAAATAAAAAAATTTGAATCCTGCATGAAATTGAAAAGCACATGCATTGATGAAGGGTGGGGTGGTGGTCACTGTTAAACTCCCGTTGATCGCTGCCTTGTAGGAAAGGCCGGTTGTTAAAGATAAGACAAAAATCCTGAATTTTATTGAAAATCTCCCAATGTATAAATGATAGCAAAAACTAAATAAACATACCCAAATCTATATAGTCTAAACAAGCTTTCCCTATTGCCATATCTCCATCCCTACTTCTTTGCCTGGGCTGGATTTCTCCCCAAAGAAGAGGAGCTTCTTTATTTATTTCCCCCTGATGAAGACGCATTGTAGAGTCTGCTCTGAGAGTCAGCAGATGAGATGTATTTTCTGGGCAGGATGCCAGGGCTCTGTTCTTTGGTGGGAAATAGCCCTCCAATTTCTTGCTATTCCCTGGAAACATTTATAAATGAGTCACTGGAATCCTCAATTTAATCTTCCTAACGCATCCCAGGTGACTCAGACTGTAGTTTCAATAAATGTGCACCCAAATTAAAAGGCACTTCGGTGGTTGTGTTAATAATTGCTGCGTTGGCAACCGTGACTGCATGAGGATTAGTGTGGGTGTTTGGTTCTAGAAGAAATCTTTACGGCAAAGTGGGCCAGTAACTCCTGTGGTCTCACTCCAAACTTTGGGTAGAGGGAGGTGGCCTGGAAGAGGTTGGCTTGTCCCCAGGGGTTCGCCAAAATTAGAGGAGGGGGCAGTCATTGGAAAAGAGCAATCACAGAATCCTTAATTCCTGGGCGAATCTGCTGCCCTGCCCTGGGGGATTAGATCAAGGTGCCGAGTTGCTTAGTTGGTCCCACCTGGGCTGAGGGGCACAGCGCTGCCCAGGGACAGACATTGCCTCCCGGAAAGCGAAATCTGCAGGAGAACCACTGGGACAAAGTCAAAGAGGCCTCGTGACAAGAGGCAGCCCGGGACACAGAAAGAATGGGGACCGAGATCTGGCAGATCTGCATTTGAGTCTAGATTGTAACAATGACCCATAATCCCCAATGCCTCAATTTGGGGAAAATTGCTTCATATTTGAATCCTCAGTTCTACAGCTATAAAATTGTGATAGAAAGTTGGATTGTGGTGAGGCTGGAATGGCTTCAGGAGGTCAAAGATACACAGCAGTGCCTCGCACAGAGTAAACAGTAAATGGGAGTGTTGCTGCAGCTACTAGCTTCTCTGGGCCTCAGCTTCTACACCTGCAAGTGGAGGCGACCCTTTTCTACCTTAAGAGTGCTCAGAATTTAATGGTGCAGAGCAAGGCACCCAGCAGGTGGCCCAACTAATACTATTTTCTGTCCCTGTTTAGGTCGGGGCCAGTAACTGAATTCACTTAAAGGGCCAAGAGGTGCCAGCTTCAATGTTAGAAACTGGAAGTATAGATTCTTTGTCTGGAGGCCAAGATTAGGGATCAGGATTGCACATAGCTCAACTCTTCCTGGGAGCATTTTCCTGAAGTGTGGTTTCTCTCTGTGTTTTCATAGAGGTGTGATCAGTAGGAGAGCACCTGGACCCAGGTAGCACCTTGAATGGTGCTCAAGTTGGAGCTGAGGGTCAGAAGTTCCGTCCACTAGAATGGGTGGCTGGCATGCCTCCTCCTGAGGCAGGAGGTCATTCAGGGTCAAGTGGGAACACATGGGGAAATGTGTTAAATGGTGGAGGATTACAGGGATTGGGGGACAGTCTCTCCTCTGTAAAGACCCATCAGATTCATCACTTGCAGATGGTAAGGTGGGGGACTCTGGTTAGGTCTGGGTCATGGCCACTAGGAGCAGAAAGGAAGAGCCTGACATCCCAGGGCTTGGTGTAGGAATTTTCTGCAGCCATATGAGCCTTTTCTTGGGACCAAAGGAAATCCTGAAGCTCTGCTTTTGGCAGCCGGAAAGGCTGAGTCCTTATGTTTTAACCTCAGCCTCTTTCTTAAGGCAAATTCAGGAGCAGTCCAATGTACATTGCTGGAGACACAGATGGACTGGGAGCTCTTTCCTGCTTCTGGGCTTTTGTACGTGCTGCTGTTCCTTTGGCCTAAAATGTGTTCTTCCCCAAGTATTCCCACGATTGTCCCATTTTCTCCTTAAAGTCTCAGCTGTTGCATTCCTAGGGAGACCTTCCTTAAGCACCCCACTGAGCCTTCAGTTATTCTCTTAGCACTTGTTCATTTTCTCCCTCACATTAGAATTTGCAATAATCTTACTCAGTTTTTTAAAAGCTCATTTTCTCTCGCCTACTAGTAGGACGTAAACTTACCAGGGGCAAAGCCCTGATCTGTATTGTTTGCCAGGCCATCCCAAGACACCAGCAGTACTGGACATGCGGTGCTCTCTCCGTTAAGGAGTAAACGGACACAGGAGTAAATAGAAGTCATACACCAGGATTCAAATCCCAGATCTGCCACTTAGGTAGACAAATAAATTTCCCTCTCTGGCAACTGCTTTCCTCACCTCTAAAACGGGCATTATAACACCTGACCTTCTCCCAGAGCTCTTGCTGGAACCGAATGAGATAACGGATATGGGAGCACAGGCAGGGAGGCTGATGTCTTCTTCTTCACCATCCAGAACTGTGCCAAGAGGCCTCGTCTGGGGAAGTCTTCCTGCTGGCTTCTGTGGCCCTTGCCAACATCACCTTCTTTGACACGATGGCCTGCGAGATGCTTCTACAGCTGAATGCTATCCGTGTCCTCCTGGAAGCTTGCAGCGACAAGCAGAGAGTGGATACGCCTTATACCCGGGATCAGGTGAGCAGCCCAGAGGGGAGCAGGCACAGAGCCTGCAGCTGTGAAGACAGAGGTCAGGAGGCCAGGGCGAAGGTTCTGGGGGAGACTACATGGCCAGGCAGCACACAGTCAGACCTGTTAGTCACACTCTAGGTCAAGGAGAATGTTCTCAACATGCCTCGTTGCCCTTGGAGCGTCTTCATGAGCCCACTCTCTACCTCACTTTTCCATCCCAACCACTATAGGGCCTTCCTCTATGTCCATTTACACCAGCGCCTCCCAGGAGCAGAGACACCACGGGAAGGGCCCTGGACCTCCTCTAGAATTCTGTGTCCTGGTCTGACATTGTTCCCTGCAGAGAGTTTCTTCCCTTCTCTGCCTCCATAAAAGCAGAGGTTGGAGCGGAGCCTTGATTCAGGGCCTCAACCCCTCTCTCAGTCTCAATGATTTTGTATATTTGAGTTCCACATAAAGTTTTGTTTGGGGGAAAAAGGGTTTACTGCTAAACGTGTTTGAAAACATTGAATGAGGGGGATTTCCAGAGCCTTGAGCTCTGAGGTTATAGAATTCTATCCTGTCCCACCTCTGCCATACTCAGCCTCCCATTTCCTTACCAAGGGGTGTGCGTGGTGAGTCAGGTGGGTGTTAGGCCTCTGTAAATTCCACCGGGTGCCTGAGCTAATGATCCCCCCAGCCTCCAACCCAACTCTGCCTTCCCTGTCTGCCTCTTAGCTCCAGCCTCTGTTTTTCCCAGCCCCAACACCTAGTCGAAACTGCCACAGCTCTTCCTGTTCAACCCCTACCCCAGAAACTTCTGGAAAGCCTTCCCTGATGGCTCCAGCTCGCTGGCATCGCCTCCTTTTCCTGGAGGCCACGTCTCACAATGCAGTGTTGACTTTTCTAATGATATTTATTCCTTTCTCGTTATTTCATGCAGTTTATTCCTCTGAGGAGGGGGAAAAAAAAGAAGCTTCTATGCTTTTCTAATCATGTAGCTTGGAGGCAATTCACTCTGAGCCTCACTTTCCTCATCTGCACATGCGGTTGAATACAACATACTTCACTAAGTTGAAATGAGAATGAAATAAACAAATGAATACAAATGTGTGGCACACAGCCCCGAATGGGGAAACCCCCAGACTGGAATTTCCTTATCTGTAAAATGGGCATGGTCTCTTCCAGCTCAGACATCCTGTAGCTCTATGGGCAGAGACCCCTTTTGTATCATGAGGAGTGACCAGCCCCCTCCTGAAACCTCATGGATTCCTCGGAAGGAGGGGGTCAGGGCCAGGAGAGAATGTGGTCAAACTCTATGCAGGGGGCAGTTCCTTCTGAATCTGGAGTCCAGAGTTTTCCTGCCATCCTCTCTCCGCCGACCCCTACCCCATCACCCCCCTCCCTCCCTCTCTCTTCCTCTCCCTGCTCCTCCCTCACCCCTTCCCCCCGGGTCTGGGCCTGGCATGTCCACCCCTTCCCCCCCGCCCCAGCCTCAGGACAGCTTCACCTTCTGCCCACCTACTGCCGTGACTCAGAGCAACCACTTAGCTGGTGAAAGCGCACCCATTAAAGAAACAAATGGCTCTTTGCTGTGGCAGGGGGAGGATTAAAGTGATCCGAGAGCTCTCTGTAATGAAGACAATGAAGATGAATTAGGCTCTGAAGTGCTCACCGCCCCCTCAGACACTTAGGAAATTAAATGCCGCGAGGCTTCCGGTAATGCATCTGCCAGTGACGCCAGGGTTGTGCGGAGCTGCTGGGTCTTGGATCTCTATTTCGTCCACCTCCGCATGAACATCGCAGTGAGAAGCCCTGTCACCCCAGCAAGCTGAATTCCCTTCATTTGCCTGACAAAAGCCTTGATTGTGGTGCCTATCTTCTACCCATCATTGGGATGTAGACAGGGGTGAGGGCTACCTTGGGTCCGTGCTCTTCCCCCCCGCTAATCTGGGGGGAGCTGGATGTGGTCGCGCATCCGGAACCCCCTGCCTCACCAGACATCTGCGTGGCCTGAGTTTTCATTCCGAGGAAGTGTGTTCTAGGGGGCATGCTGCCCAGGGAGTCCAGCCGCAGCCATGACCTGAGGTGGTGGGAAAGGGGCGGCCTCACCTCTGCTCTGCCTTAAGGCAGTGACAACCTAGGGTGACAGGGACCCAGTTATCTTGTCTAGGCCACCACAGAGGCTTTCACTGAGCATGACTTTTTATGACCTTTCAGAAATAATCGCTTTCATAAAGGTGGAGGGTACAGGTATACGCTTCCCATGAAAACACATACTGCATGGTTGGTATTTTAGACTGTTCAGATTTTGTGGCATTTCTGAAAACTCACTGTGAATCCCATCATCAGGAGTCCATTATCAGAAATGCCAGTTAATAGGGATTATAATTTTGACTCACGTTGCAAAAGCCCTCTATACTCCATAAAACCCTTCTATATACCTATGTGACACACATGACGTATTAGAAACAGCACAGGCTTTGGGTTCAGACAGAGCCGACTTCAAATCCTGGCTCTGCCATTTCCTGGCTGTGTGACCTTAGACAAATCACTTAACTTCTCTGAGCCACAGGTTTCCTCACTGGTGTAATGGGGATAATCTCTTTCCTCCCTCCCGTGTCATGATAATGATTAGATGGCAGAATACTCATAAAGTAGTTGAAGCAAAGCAGATACTCAGTGGTGAATGGGGCTGGGGTCTGTGATAGAACCAGGGACTGGGATGGGACTGAGACGGGAATGTCAGCTTTGGGGAAGGAGGGTGGGGCCAATTGGACATGGAGGTGATGTGGGGGTGGTGGTGAGTGTCGTGTGGCGTGAGGCAATGCGTGTGTTGTTCCAGTCTGTGTATGGGTATATGCAAGGTGTGCATGTGGGTTAGGGGGCGGGGGGTTGTTGATAAAGACTGTCAACCAGGACTGCAACACCCAGTCCTGATCTGCCCCAGAAACCCCTCTAACAGAGCCAAGGGAAAACTAAGCACAGAGCACGTGGTCTGGCATTTACCCGTTCTCTGATCCTGTGAGGAGCACACCCCAACCTCGATGCAATCCGAGGGACAGTCCTGTGGCCTAGTTCACCAACAGCCTGGGACCTACATCCAAGGCAGTGGTATGGCATTTGACTCTCTCTCCCGAGTCCAAATCCCAGCCCTCCTGTCTTGGCTCTCTGGTAGTGTGGAGGGCAGGCTGGGCCTGGAAGGTCCAAGTTCCTGAGAGTGTGAGCAGTGTGCTTGTCTCAGGCCTAGGCAGGCGCTCTCCTGGTCTCCATGTCTGCTCAGCCCCCAGCTCCCAGGTCCCTGACCACGCCTAGCAGATGGAGTGAGAGGCTCAGTAGAGAGAAGCGGAGGCTGCACCTTCCCCTGCACCGCCTTGCCTCCCTGGCCTTGGGGAAGAAAGCGTGTTCAAAGAGACCACATCCTTCCTCTCTCAGAGCCCTTCATTCTTCAGACCAATGTCCTTGTCTTGACTGTTTTTTTGATAGAAAAAATGGTAAGGAGGGAAGACGGCAGAACAGAGAGGAGCACTGGGCGCCCCCTAGAGGCTGAAAGAGATTTTGCTGGCTGCTGTTGACATTGTTGCTCTAGCTTTTTGAGAGTTAACACAGTGATGGTAGAAATCTAAATATTCCATCTAGCGATTAAAGATTAATTCTAATTACAGTCATATGAAATGTTGGCCTTTTTGTCCTAATTACTGCAGAGCATAAAAGCAATCATAACTTTTCATTAAATGCATCTTAGATTTTCTGTGTTGTGAATTCTATCATATGAGTGCACCTGCTTCTATTTGGGATAATCCTCACTTGATTTTTTTTACAGTATGGTCTTCCTAGTTCACAATATAGAAACTGTTAGTTTACAATATAGAAAATGAAAGGGACAGAGATAGAGTCAGAGTGGGATCACAGGCAGACGTTGCGGAGGATGTGAGACAAGCCCGGTTAATGCCTTGGGATCAGTTGCAGACAAGCGTTCCAGGGGCACTTGCCCTGGGCCAGCATGGAGTAAACCTTCTTCTCTGTGTGTGTGCTGACATCAAAAGACTTCGCCAACTTCCTTCTGACCACATGGGGCATTTCTTCTTGAATCAGTGACATGGGAGGTCCCCTGCTATTATGGCCAATTTGTTACTCACCTTAATTTTTCTAAGGCAGTCAGTCTTTGGGAGGCCCAAGGAAAAGTGATTTCAAAATGCCACAGAGGTAATGAGCACAGAGTTTTTTTTGGGGTTCTCTGCTGGGAAGGGCTCTGGGATCTCGCCTTCCTTCAGGAATGATTTCCCATTAACAGCACATTTGGCAACAATGGGCGTTGCATTGGTTGGGACTCCTTGACATAATCTTTCAAGCTCTGGATACTTTCAGGCTCTGTTTCCCAGAAGGAAGTTATACTCATTTTGTTTAACAAATGTTCTGGGTACTTAACAAAACATTAGCTCACTGATGGGATGCCTGGGTGGCTCAGTTGGTTAAGCGTCTGCCTTCGGCTCAGGTCATGATCCCAGGGTCCTGGAATGGAGCCCCGCATCAGGCTCCCTGCTCAGTGGGGAGTCTACTTCTCTCTCTCCCACTCCCCCCTCCCATGCTCTCTCTCTCTCACTCTCTCTCTCTGAAATAAAATAAAATCTTAAAAAAAAAATTAGCTCACTGAATGCTCATAACTGTCTTATGAATCATCTTATGCATTTATTTCCTGTTGTAGACCAAATAATGACCTCCCCCCCCCAAAGAGGTCCACAACCTAATCCCCCAAATCTGTGTCCTACTTTATGTGGTCAAAGGGATTTTGTGGGTATGATTAAATTAAGGATCTTGATAAAGGACTATTACCCTGGATTATTGATGTGGGTCTAACGTTACCACAAGGATTCTTTTTTTTTTTTTAAATTTTATTATGTTAGTCACCATACAATACATCATTGGTTTTTGATGTGGTGATCCACGATCCGTTGTTTTCGTATAACACCCAGTGCTCCATGCAGTACGTGCCCTCCTTAA